TCCCGGCCCCTGGAAGCGGAGCGGGATGCGGAGGATGCTGGAATGCATAATGGAGCACCGGGGCGCTCAATAATTCATCTGTCACCCAGGAACAGCCACGTTTCTCCACATCCAACCCCTTCTCCGAGCTCTCAGCTGCCRGAGGGAGCGGCTCCAGTGGAGGGGGGGGGTTTGTCTGCGATTCAGACATTGCTGCTCTGCCCCACAGTGCGGGTTTTCCCTCGGGAATTGGGAAATTTTGGACATTTTTGTGTCCAAAACAGCCYGAACATCCTTGGGAAGGCTGGGATTAATGATGGATGAGCTGCACCGGGGTGCTGTGGTGTCATGTCCTGCCGTGTCCCCGTGTCCTGCCCTGTCCCAACACCCCATTGTGACCCCCTGAGCATCCCGGGATCAGGTCCCTGGAGCCTTTCCGGGTGATTTTAAAGCACTGTGAAAGTTGGGGAGGGGCTGCCTAAGTGCAAAGTGCTGTTGGAGGGGAGGAGGAGGCGGTGGCAGCCCCGGCGTGGGGGGATTTATTATTTATCCCTCACAGATGTCTTTAACTTTTGTCACTTCGAGCCGGGCCCGGCGCTGGGAGTGGCTGATCCGAAGTGACAAGGATTCCAGCTCCTTCCTAGGGAGAAAGCCTCCAACAGGGACTAACAGGGACTTGACAGAAATCCAGCTTTGTTCCCTTTCCAGCTCCCGGGGGTGGGATGCAAAAACCGCTGGCTCAGGGATCCAAACTGCCCCAAATTATCCCAAATTGGGCCGTGCTCAGCTTTTGCAGGTGCTCCTGGCTTTGCATTCCTTGGTGATTTCCACTTCCCACAGATGTGGGGCAGAACCTTGTGGCTTTTTCCTGGGCACTGCAACCTCCTGGGTGTCACCAGTGGGATCTGTGGTGGACAAACCTCACTGGGATCCCGGTGAGCACAGAACTGCCAGGCAGGAGCTCACACCACAAACAATCTGGGTTTTTTTTTGTTTTTTTTTTAGTCCAAACATCCTTGAGCAGGAGGATTTAGCAGGGAAGGGGTTTGTGGCCGTGCTGTTGCTGTGGGTGACTCGGAGGTGGCGGGGCCGGGGCTGGCAGATCCCTGGCCCGACCTGTTTTGGGATCCTCGTTCCGTGTTTGTCTCCCGCGTGTGCTCCCGTCACGCTCCGTTCCCACAGGGCCCTCCTTGTGCTGCGCTGACGGAGAGGAAAAATCTCAATACAATGGTTGGCACAGCTGCAGGAAAACAGCCCCGGCCTTGCAGCGCCTCACTCGTGCCGGGAGCGTGTGCCCGGCACTGCCAGGCGGGGCTGGGACACGG